CATTCACTAGGCTTGCAATTTTTTGTTTATATATGTTTTTAAATAATCTGAACAATGTTGTTGCTTTTAATCAGTTGAATGATAAAACTTTTTATAGAAAAGATTGTCTCTTTAACTTTTATGTTAAAGTTGTTATTTCCTTGTTAACTGTCGTCTGTCATTAACAAAGCAAGTAAAAAATTGCACATAATGATAACAAATTTAACTTTAGAACTGTTTGCAAAACTTTTGGTTTAGATACAAAGCACCAAGTAAAAATTATACTGGAAAGGTACACTTTCTTATATTTAAACATCATTGCAGCTTTCTAGTTTTCATTTTTGTTTATGTGTATTTCATCTCTGTTGCTAATGATATCGCCAGTTTTTATAATTTGATGTTGTTAAGTAAAGCATCATTATGTTTCAAGTTAAAATAGAGCTTTGATAAATACTTTATCCAGTTTAAATGAATATCAACTTTCAAGGTGTATAAGCCAAATTATCCTTTTGTATTGATAGCCTTTAGTCAATAACGGATTTTTAAATTGTTATGAGTCTACAACACTTAATTTCTGCAAAATTTAATTAAAAATTCATATCATAGAAGACAGAAAAAAATCAATATCTGTTTTCAATAACTCGGCTTTCATAGAAAATCTGAGAGGTGCAAATGTTTAGCTTGGTATAATAAAATACATTCTTGTACAGTCATTTTGGTGGTCGTAAATTTCTTTAACACACTCATTTTTATATATTTTTAGACTGTTTAGACTCCTGTTCTAATCTTACCTAATGGGTTCAAAAAGAAAGGTCCGTGCTAGAAACATGAGGAGGTTAAAGGATCAGCCCTTTTTGAATTAATAATTGGTAAGTGTAAGGTATTGCACTAAGCTTATCAAGTTTCGTTTGCTTTTTTGTATTACATTCAAGCAATAAACTTTTTTTTATGTTCACTCGTTTTTTAGAAGTCGAAAAAAGACGTTTCAAAATTTTTCATTTCTTTGCAAAACTGCTATTTTGACTTGCTACTGGATTAATACATATTAATTAATAACACTATTTGTGTAAAAAAGACAAGAGGAACATAGAATATTTGTTTAGTAGTATTTTATGATTCCTAAATTTATTTTTCGAATAGAAAAGGAAAAAATTTTGGGAAAGAAAAGTTTGAGAAAGAAAAAGAAAACATTAAAATGGCATCTTTTTTTATTATGTCACGCGGCCTAACGTTTTTTAAAGTATCAGTGCATTTGTTTACCATGTTTTTGTTATAACAGTATATCATATTTTAGCTATCAACCACTTAGAACTGTGCGTAGGTTAATTTGATACATAAATATATTATACTTTATATATCTTAATCTTGATAAATATATTTAAATACTTTGAACCTCATTGCTTCTTTACTAGTTTAATTTTTTCAACTTAAGTTTTTAGAAAAAAAAATTCTTAAAATCATCTTATATACATATTTTTAAACGCACTGTAAAAATCTATTTGAAAGACGTATAAAACACATTTTTTAAATTGACACCGGGATTACTTTGAATAGCGGGGTAACTTTGAATACAAATCCTTTTTTTTTTTTTCAAGTTTTAATTATGGCAAGAATTTATATGAAACTGTTTGAATCTAAAACATTAAAGTGTTAAAAATAGTTTATATTTTGATTATTTATAGTTTTACTTTGTTTATTGGTTGTAATTATTCCCCAAAAAATGAATTAAATAATTTAGATAATTTTCTCAAAAAATTAGTTAGAATACTTTGTACACCGCCTCAGCTAGTGTAGCAGCTTGTTGTCTATGTTGCATAGTTTTCGTTTATAAATTTGTAAAGCATGTAAAATTTAAAGAAGTTTGTTTGCCTACTATAGTTATGTTCCGTTGCTATAGCATAACATACTTTGTTGTGTACATTATTTCGCATACTTTGAATAACGTTCAAAGTAACTCCACTACATAAATAATCAGAAACATTAAAAAATTTTAAAATTTTCTTTGTTATACATGTATTATATATAGTAAATTAAATATTGTACATAATATAATTGTGATTAAAAAATAAATGTGTGTGCGTGTTTTTGTGTCTTTGGGAACACTAATAAATTTTAAATCTTGTAAAGTTATATAAGTTTATAAAGTTTTATATAGTATAAGTATATAAGTATAAAGTACAAGTTTATAAAGTTTATAAAGTTTTTGTGTGTACATTCAATATTATGTTGAATTATATTTGTTGAAAATACTGTTATTCATTTTTAAACTTGTTTTTGATTAGCGTTTCATAGTACAATCTCACTTTTATATGAAAAAAGATGATATAATATATATATAGTATATATATATGATATAATATAATATAGTATATATATGATATAATATGATATAGTACATAATCTATACTGAGTGTAAATTTTATGATAAGAATAAACATTATTAGATAAAAACATTAATAGATATTTATTGGGTTCAAGTTGCTACTTTGTATAATAAAGCTTAAAAACTTAATCCAAAAACTATGGAAAGTCCAAAGTTTTTACAAATATGCAACATGTTATGTTAACGTCAATCGTGTTTAGTTGTAACGTCAAACATCAATCATGTTTAGTAATTCTGGTCCAGTTTTCTCTGTTTATGTTTATAAAGCTGAGCATTTATGCATAACAAGAACCAAAGCGGACCACCTAATGATATACAATCAAGCATACAATCAAAGAAAGGACGGTTTGATTCTATTCACTTTTTTGACTGGTTTGTTATTGTTTTTTGTCAAATTGTACGAATATTCTTATTAGTTATAATTGAAGTAATTTTTACAGTAAAAAAGTATTTGAACTTACTAAAGAAAATAGTATCTTGTTGAGAAGAAAACAGTATCTTACTCTCTAACTGGTAACTCTATCCATTTATTACAATCTCTTGATGATGCATTTGATTGATCTCTTAAAATTTATTGTAAGAAAATACTTGATTATTTAAATACCTCTTGTTTAAATAATGCACAGACCATTACAAGTAATAAATCTTATTTTTTCTTTATTAACTTATAGTCATTATATTTGTCAAATAAAAAGGTAATTAACAACTTATTAGTTTTGTGGTTTTGAAGGAAATATGGGATTTACCCATATTTCTTTCAAAACCACAGAGCAGTAATTAATGTACTTTAAGAATTTTTTCATGTTGTTGGAAAAAAGCAGACTCAAAGGAAAAAAAAAATTATTTTTGATCTTGTTAAAAATAATTCTTTTAAGGATTTTTTGGCTAAATGTTAATATGTTCCACTTGCATAGTCTGTAAGTGAAACTGATGTAAATAAGACTTTTTTATGTTAGTTAAAAAATACCCATTTAAACAAAATAAAATACTAAATGAGTGTTTGTTATGAAATAATAGTATATTATTTTATAAATAATAAATTTCCGTAAAAATCTAGTCTTTTTTTTTTATTAAATTTTAAAACAAAACAAAGCGTTTTTAAATAGTTTTTTACAAAAATCGCATTCAAAGTTACCCCATTTATGAGGTAACTTTGAATGACTATTTAAATTAATATTATACAAAATCTATTTATTTAAATATTATTTTGAATTTGAATTATGTAAGACTTAATCTTAGCTCCTATAATCATTTTGTTAAATTTCAAATATTGTCAATAGTGAATAAAAAGCAAGTAAAAATATCTCAAAAACTTTCAAAGTAATCCCGTTTTACGGTACTTTAAGTCTTTTATGAATCTAAAACGATACACGTTTAATTGTCGTTTTTGGGCATAATTTATGTGTTCATGGAAGTTTCAAATAAAGTTTCTATATGTGTCCATGATGTGCCAAATTAAGTTCATCAAAAACAAATCTATAAAAAGACGCTTATGTAATGTTCATTTGCGATAAAATTCAAATGTTTTTAATGATTATTATGCATATTTAGATATTATTTTTCCCAAAAGTAAAGTTAATCTATATATTGCAATTAATGTTTTTTAATTTATAAAAAATGATGCTTAAAGATATTAGCCCATAAAAAAAAGTTTTATAGTACTTCTGCAAACTTATGAAACATATGACCAATAAAACTTTCATAAAGTCTTTATAGAATGTTTATTAATTCTATAAAAACGCTATTAAATTTTTTTTTTTGTACAAAAAGAGTAAAAAAAGGAAGTTCTATTGAGACTTCTAGAAATAACCAGCAATTCTTTAAAAATTCTATAGAACTTTATAGAACTTTTGTTAGCCATATGTTTCAAATGTTTATAGAAGTTTTATAGAACTTTTTTCCTGGTAGAACTCATCCAAAATACTGTGTAAAATTTAAGACAACAATTAACAACCAGGATTGAAGAAGAGGCGGTCGCAAAACTCGCAATGGCATCGCTAATAAACTTTCTATCAGAGCATTTGAATAAATTCGAATATCTCGAAGTGTATGCAATCTTGGTTTTAGCAACAATATTAGGTTTTTCAAGCATAAGTATTAAAGAAAAATGTTTATTTATTAAAGAGAAATGCCTTAAAAAAACTATTTTAATAAAAAAGTCTCAAAAGTAAAATTTCTAAAACAAAGAATAAGTTGAAGTAAATATTTAACTAAAGAAAAAACTCAATAAGGTGATTATTAGTAAACTAGTCAAAGTTTTATTAAATTTTTTAAAAAGTATGTTAAAAAATCGGCATATTACTAAAATATGCATAAATATTCTTTGACCTTTTTTCATATTAGGAATATTTTTTTGCTCAAACCTATGAAACAAAAATGTTTCAAAAATGTTGTGCAATACATTGAAATTTATGAAATAGAAATCTTTCTTTTTCTTTCGTAAAAGTTTTATTTACACATACCTAATATATTAGAAATTCATATTTAAAATCTCATTGTTCTTTGTAGAACTGTTAAATATTATTATTATTTTATGATGTAAAACTGTTATTATAACTAGTTTGAATTTGTTTGCAGTATAGCATATTTTAAAATAAATATGAAGAATTTGAAAAAAAAAAAAAAAAAAAAAACTTACATTTTACAAACAAGTTTCTGATATATCCCGGGTGAGGTGCGTACCATGAATCGCCGACAAACAGTTGGGCATTTTGAAAAACCTGAGGATTGGTATTTTCTACCGAAAGTACAGTCTCTTCATCAACTTCGATATTATAAAAGTATTTGCAAGCCATAAAATACTGTTTTATTACAACTTTTGTCCATTTCTGAAGAGTAAATGGTTTTGTGTAAAAACCATAATTACCATTGTTGCTTACTGGAGAAACTATTTCCGCAACCAAATTTTGATGAAGAAATAAAGTCGCAATTCTAGATCCGTAATCGCAACAATTAGTTCCAGTAGTAAAACGAATAACGCTTGTAATATATTCGTATGAAGTTGAAGTAATATAAATTTCAAAAGATATTTCAAATTCCTTAGTTATTGTTAATGTGCCAAGAAACTTGCCGTAAGTTATATTCGTTCCCTCACTGCCAACAAACATCTCTAAAATTAAAAATAAATAAATATAAGCATAACTAAAACCTAGAAATTAAAAAGTAAATGGTAATTAGAAAATTAGTTAACATTATCACATTTAGTTATAAATTAGTTAATAAAACTTGTAAAAAAAACACTATTCAGTTTTTAATTTCTGTGATTAAACGCCGTTCATATTAGGGTTGTTAATCGGAAGATTTCGTACAATTCCGGAAAAACAACATTCTTTCGTAAGGAGATTGAGAACACGGAATTACATTTTTTCGAACCGAATGTTACAAAACATTTAAAATCGCCGATGTTCATTTCGCAAAAGTCACTTCCGAAATTTAGCATTTCGCAAGTTGACATACGAAACAAAACTATTTTGCAACATACGAAAGTAGCGGTTTCGGAAGTCGCACTTGCGAAACAAACATTTTCGCCAAACGACGTTTTGAAGTCTATAAAGAAAATTTGTTTGCCAGACTGATTTTAATTGTAAAAATTAACATCTTTAAATCCCATAATGTTTATAATGAATTTTTATTTTCAGTATAATAACATATTATATTTTTATGGTTTTATTTTTAGAAATGTTGATAAAAAATAAAATTTATTTCGAAACGAAAGTATTTCGGATCACAACATACGAAAGGATTCTTAACGGAAATAAACTTACGAAACGTGCCATAATAAATATATATAACGATGTTTTTTGAATTCATTACGTATATTAAAAATAAGAATGATAGGTAGAAATATACATGTTTTTTTTTTTTAAAGCATATGAAATTTTTGAAACAGGTTCGAATATGCTTAAGCAAATAGTAAAAAGAGACTCAAAAATATGCTTTAGCTTAAGCATATTTCTGATAAAATAAACCTATTTCAATATTTTCTAAAAGTGTGCACGTTACTAAAGTTCTAGCAGATTTTAGTAACGTGCTAGAAAGGTATGTAGAGTCTTGTTTGAATACGCTTTTCGAAGTATAGATCTTAGAAAATATTGTTTTTCAATTTTAATAAGATATAAATTTGAGTATAAGATTGTATAGTTCAATCAGTTAGATACGTGATAATTCGCCGCAGAGATCCGGGTTCGCATCCCGCAGCCATTGTAACTTTTGTTCATCAAACTCTTTTTACTGAAGATAGCATTTTTTGACCTCCATGTTCTATATTACAGATCTTTCGTCACCTTCACAATAGTGACAACCTCTCCTCTGTTAGTTATTCTTTTAAGATTGAGTTCATTGTGCTTAATTCAACACGTTTCCTTTGCTTTACTAAGTTCTACTTAATTTATGATGAAATGTACGTAAAACAACTTTTTCAAATAATATAAATCATTTTGCTTTAAATCTTTTGCTTTTTGTACTAGACATCTGTCCTAAATACTTTGTAATAATTTCTAGCTAACTCTGAGTCTAATATAACCATTTCTGAATATAATTTCCCTGAGGCTCCTACAGCCTATTAAAAGTAACTAGTTTTTGAGTCCAGATATTAATTATAAGCATCTAAAGGTTCACATTACTATTCATTTTCCTGATATATAGAATCCTATTTGCATACGTATCTCTTTCTGTGAATTCTGTTTTATATAGTTTCTTAATTATATATTAAATAAATATTACTATTCACTTAGTTGAATGAACGTACAGCTCATTCAGTTAAGACATTTGGCCGCGTAGACCCAGGTTCACATCCCGCTGTTTCATATATATTTCTTCTCTTTTTACTCTTTCTGATATCATTTACCTTTAGAGAGATCTTTCGTTCTTTATAATAAAGTATTTAATTGTTTATCACACATCCTCTTTATACTTTTAAAAAAAAAAGGCATACTGTTTATCTGTTCATTGAGAGTCCAACTTAACGCGATTTTACTGTATATATATATATATATATATATATATATATATATATATATATATATATATATATATATATATATATATATAATATATATATATATATATATATATATATATATATATATATATATATATATATATATATATATATATATATATATATATATATATATATATATATATATATATATATATATACATATATATACAGTAAAATCCCGTTAATGTATATATATATATATATATATATATATATATATATATATATATATATATATATATATATATATATATATATATATATATATATATAAATATATTAGGTATATTTGTATAAATATTTGAAGAATCATTTGACAACATTTTTTTGTAATTTTAATATTTATTATTTAAACTGTTAACAGTTAATATCTTAAATATATCGTAACATAAAATCTTTTGCATCTTTTTCGTAACTACACATTCCGGAATGCTTTTTCCGTAAGGAACTATTTCGTAAGTATTCTTACGAAATGATTTGTTTCGCAAGTTTTCTTTCGCAACGCTTTATTACGGAATTTTATTTACTATTTATATTTTCGTATAGCGCGTTACGGAATGTGCATTTTTGCATGTGCAACTTCCGCAATAACAATTCTATTACGGTAGATAAAGATGTGAAATTTTCGCAAGTTTTGTTTTTTGGCGAACAACCCTAGTTCATATGCAATTTGACGCCAAAAAATAATATAAAAAATCATAAAAATCTATTCACTTTGTTCATGCCTGTGATTAGACGTCATGCGCCTTGCTTGGCTAAAAGGCAGTTATATTTATGAGCAATTTAAAATTTTTAAATAACTGTGTTTTTATTAGGAATTATTTCTTTTTTTACAAAATTATGTTTTTGGAAATAATAGAATTAAGTATTAGGTTTTATTTTGATTAAACTTTACTGCTTCCCAGTGAGCACGGGAATTAAAAAAAAGGTCTTTTAAACGTCTTCTGAAAGTTTAAAAGACGTCTTATTTAGGTCCCGTGACCACTGGGTTGATTCGATTTGATATTAAATGTTTTTTAAGTTGCTTAAATTAAAAGTTGAAACATGATACTATATATTGCCATAAATTATTGAGTTATAATAAATCGCCACAGTTAAGTAAGTGAGTTATAAATAACTTTTTACGGAACCTGCTATAATTAAATATTCAAAAATGAGAGCTTGTGGAAACGTTATTTGTAAATAGTTCAAAAGTATTTACTCAGCGAAAAAAATATGTTGTTTCAAATAATTTCTTTTTTGATAAGCTCTTTTATAAACTCTCCAAGGAGTCTGCTTTAATGTTGTTAGTGGCTCTACATTAGAGTTCTTACTTATTTTTGGATTGTATATTATTTTATTGTAAACTTGGTGTTTTTTAGACATTTCTATAAAAGAACACAACTGATAAGGTACTCAACTGTAAATATATATATATATATATATAAATATATATATATATAAATATATATATATGTATATATTTATTACAATATTTACTAATATATCGATAAGAAAAAATTCACGCTTTTTTTTCCCATTAGTAAAACTTACTAAGACTGAGTAAACTGATTTTGAAAAATTGATGCAAAACTTAAATACTAATTGTTGCGCATCAATAGAAATCGGTATTTCCTCAGCAAGTTTTAGAACAATTAATTTTTTGATTACTCTAACATTTAATTGATAATAGATATTAATATAAATAACGCTGGAAATCTCAATATATGTGCTGGTCCTTAAGTATTATTTTTAAATGATAAGGTTGGATATTTTAATTTTATGAAAAAATATGACCACAAACTTAACCGATGTATATAATTGTAAAAAAAACTCACAATTTTTTAGATTCTTAAATATAATCTTTAAATGAAAAGGTTGATTATGATCTTTAAATATCAGGGTAAAGCTTTTAAAATTTTAAAAATTTATGTACAAAATTATTTGATTTATTGGCTCCACGGCTAAGATCAAACTATTACTTTATGCATGATATGATAAGTTGTATTTTTTGGGGTAAAATTTAATTACTAAAATATTATATAAACTTGAAATAAAACAAAATTTTTAAAACATTATTAGATAATACTAACAGATTAGTTAGCTTTCAAATTTGTATAAGCTAACATGGTTGAGTTTTAATTCAGCCATATTAGCATGTTAGCTAATTTTTATTAATAAATGTTTTTATTTTGTATTCTGCAAAGACCATGCCTAAGTATGCCGAGAACAAGTAAAATTAAGAAAGTGATAAAAAATGAGCTACTAATAGTTTGAAAAAAAATTTCTTATGTAATTAGCGTCAGAATCATTTCTTATGTAATTTCTTATGTAATTAGCGTAAGAATCAATCACAGAATTTAAAGAGTCTTGCGTACAAAAGTTTAACATTCAGAAAGCATAACAGAAACGGCTACCAGCGTGCCTTATTAATTAAAACTAAATTATCAAAGAAATCTCAAACGCAATTTTCTTGTTAATTCTCGGCAAACTTGGGCATGGTCTCTACAAAATACAAAAAATATAATATAATATATAAGATTTAGAGAAAATAAAATAAAGAGTATATTAAAGATTCATTTAAGAAAGCTTGAACAAAGGCGAAAGCTAACTTAATTAATATTACTATGTAATAAGTAAGAAGTAAATTTTGACTTTGTTAGACCTGCTTTTTGATATATGAGTTAACTATTTTTATTACTTTTATAAAACATTATTTATGCAAACTATGATATAAATATATTTTTTAAACAATTTTATTCATTTATTTAATGGCTATTTAAAACACTAGGTATAAACAGTTTGTGAATACCAAGTGTTTTTTTTTAAGTTTAGTGTTTTTGTTTTATATACCTAGTAACTAAAAATAGTCATAACACAAGACAGACTGATGAATTTTTTTCTGTTGGCAGTATCAAACGCTGACTTGCCTCTACATATTTTTGTTTTTTGACCGCTAAAGCCTTTGTAAATTTTTGCTATAGACAATTTATAAATGCGTATGAAAGCTTATTATGAAGAAAAAGGATACATCAAAACGTATTCTTTATATATTTACTTTGTATCTAAGGCTCAATCATTAGTTTTCATTTTATTACAAATAGTATTAAAAACAAATCTAATAGTGC